TAGGGCAAGTCCTCCATGAGACTTGTGCTGCCCCTGAATCTGAAGCAAGTCCCTCCAGGCTAGGCTTTCCTCTCACAGCGGGTTCGTGCTGTGGAAGTCTCCGGAGTCCCCTCACAAATCCTAACAGTGCCAAGCACAGCCCTTATCCTGTCACTTTTTGGTGCACAAATGTTGTTTTCCTTAGGTTCTTAGTTACACTTGCTCCTCATGGCATTTTGTGTTAGCTTTGTTGTACAGCCTCAACCATCCCCACTGCAATAACATGGCATCCCCCTCTGCTAAAACGCAGGAAAGGGCAGAAATTGGACCAAAGCTCCCCTTGCAAACCTCTTCTGCAGGAAAGGGCCAAGTTGTGGCAACGCTGTCCTGGGCAGGGCTGTCCCCGTGCCCCACTCTCCCCAAGGGAGCAGAGGACTCTGTGCTGAAGTGATTGCTTCCCATGACGTCTAACACCCTCTCCTCTCCTCTCCTTTGCAGGTTCTGTTCAAAATGTTTCTTGGAAGTGCAAACTTCGGGGAAGCGGCTCATTTTGTTTCTACTCTGGGCTTCTTCAATTTAATTTTCATCTCCGTTACCCCGATCATACTGTATTTTACAAAAGTGGAGTACTGGTCCCCCTTCTCTGCCGTGCCATGGGGTTACCTGTGTGGAGTAGCTGGCCTCTGGTTAGGTATGTGTTAAAAAAATTTACTCATTTTTCTGCTCATCTCCTGCCCCCCTACCCCCCACCCCCAATATAAAATTAGCCTCGGGCACAAACAATTCCCTCCCTGAAGCATCAGAGATCTCTCACAGGTGAAATCTGATCCCAGTGCAAACTGGTACTCCTTGAGAAATTACTCATATTTTTCATAGGAAGCCTTAACTCTAATATTAACAGCAGAGAATAAACAAGATACTAAACGTCCACTTCTTTGCATTCCTACCATAGTTTCATTGGTATTTCCCTGTCTCTGGCACAGACTGGTTGCTATAAATCCAGTTTCAGAGAGCTGCCTGTACGCGGTAGTTCGTGGCACGCTGTCGTGGTTTAACCTGGCTGGCAACTCAGCACCACGCAGCCGCTCGCTCACTCCCCCCGACCCTCAGTGGGATGGGGGAGAGAATCGGGAAGGAAAAGTAAGACCCGTGGGTTGAGATAGAGACAGTTTAATAAAAGAAAAGAATAACAATAGTAATAATAATAATGGTAAGAGAATATACAAAACAAGTGATGCACAATGCAATTGCTCACCACTCGCTGACTGATGCCCAGCCCGTCCCGAGCCGCGATCACTCTCCCCGTGACTGACCAACCCCCCTGAGCATGACGTTCTATGGTATGGAATAGCTCCTTGGTGAGTTTGGGTTAGCTGTCCTAGCTGTGCTGTGCTCCCTCCCAGCTTGTTATGCCTCTGGCCGAGCAGGAGAAGCTCAAAAAGTCCTTGAGTAGCCTGAGCACTACTTAGCAACAACTAAAAACATCAGTGTGTTATCAACAGTCTAGTACTGAATCCAAAACACAGCACTATGCTAGCTACTACGAAGAAAATTAACTCTATCCCAGCCGAAACCAGGACACACGCTCGGCGGGGGGTGTGTGCACCGACACGGGGACCCGCAGCACTGGGGCAGCTTTCTGTGGGCGCTGCGGGGCATTAGCCTACAGAGCTGGTTCTTCCCCTGTGGTCTTCACCTCCCCTCTGCTCTTCCTCCATGCTCCCTCTTTCAGAGCCATCCATTTCTGCTGTCCTCTAGCCAAGCAGGATAGCTGTTGGATTCAGCCCAGGGGCATTTTAATGTCCGGATATAACAACATCCTTTCCTTTCATCAAATCTCTATTATTTCGTAATTGAAGAGGGTTTTGTCTCCACTACAAGTATATTAAATGGAAGCAGGGAGGATGTCGTTACCTGGTACATAGCCCATCCACGCAGCCATCCTGAGACAGCGCGGGCTGACAGCTGAGGTGCTGTGAGCACCTTGAAACTGCTTGAACCTGAATTGTAGCTGCTCTGTGCACACCTAAGGGACAAAAAGTAGGGATGACTTACCACCACCCAGAGATCTACTCACGTGTATAATCCCAGCCAGGAGGGAACAACCTTGGTGGAGCAGACAGACTTGCTCCTTTTACCTGGGGGACTCACCAGTAGGCCTCATCAACACATACAAATATCTTAAGGGTGGATGTCATGAGGACAGAGCCAGACCCTTTGCAGTGGTGTCCAGCGCCAGGACAAGGGGCAATGGGTACAAATTGAGACAGAAGAGGTTTCAGTTGAATATGAGGAAAAACTTCTTGACTTTGAGGGTGACAGAGCCCTGGAACAGGCTGCCCAGGGGGGTTGTGGAGTCTCCTTCTCTGGAGATATTCAAAGCCCACCTGGACAAAGTCCTGTGTAACATGCTCTAGGAGAACCTGCTTTAGCAGGGGGGTTGGACTGGGTGATCTCCAGAGGTGCCTTCCAACCTTTGCCCTTCTGTGATTCTGTGACTGGGTGTTGGGTGATCGGAGGGGGACCTTGGGTCCTGCCACAGTGCACAGCACCAGCCCCCAGCTGCGAGAGCTGGAAGAGCACCCGAGGGAATGGTAAGTAAGGAAAGTTTTTGCATTTGCTTTTGGTCTCTGAAGGAAATTGGAGCTGGCTGGGAATGCTGTCATGTTAAAAAAAAAAAAAAAAAAAAAAAAACTCCAACCTATAAATTAAATGTGGTGAATGTTTGTACTTCTGTCAGCTTTCATTTTGCCTTCAGCATGGCAGCAAGACCATGGTCTCGCTCTAGTCTGCTTAGTTCACAGCTAACTTCATCGAATAATTGTATGTAGCATATGAATTCCTGCTACTGTCCCCTTTGGTGTGTGGTCCAGCTAGATGGGTTTGGGGCCTTTTCTCATGAAATACCCTACTACAACAAGGACGACACCGCCTCAGGCGAGAGGGGAAGCTGGGATCACCATCCTTCTGGTAGGAGGAGAAATGACGGCTTATGGCAGCAAACCTAGGTTGTTGGCGTCTGGCTAAAGCTTGGAGAAAGCTGTGAAATAGAATTGTAATAACCTTGGTATTACAATTTGTGAAAGAACATAGAGCCCTCCCTCTTCCCCCGTGCAGAACTTCCCCTCATTTCACACTCATATATTAAAAAAAAATAAAAATCAATCACTTTGTGACAACTATGTCATGGTGGTGAGCATACTGAGCATGTATCGTACTTGCAGGGTCAAGGTGGAGGAGAAAAGTCTCAATCCGGTGTTTTTTCCCATAATCATGTATTGTTTTCTCTGCTTGTCCCTAGCTTTCAATATTCTGGTTAACGTTGGCGTCGTGCTTACATACCCCATTCTGATCTCTATCGGCACCGTGCTCAGCGTCCCTGGAAATGCAGGTACGAGTACCGGGGCTGTTGGTGGAAAAATAAGCGCACAAGCATGCAGACAGCAGAAGCAGTTTATTGTCTAAATAGTCAAAAATCTCTTGTCACATATTTCAAAAGCAGTTCAGTCTCCTTTGGCTTTCACGGATGCTCCTGGTGATGGTGGGTGTTTCAGTGGGTGAAAGCCTTTTTCTTTTTTTTTTTTTTGTCTTGCCTCCTTTCTCTGGGAGGGACGGGATGCAGCCGTACCACGCGGAGGAGAGGGCAGGCTGATCCCCAGCCAGCAGCCCAAAGCTGGTTGCTGCTGAGATGTGGCGGGGTCGGTGTGCTGGTGCCTTGCCATGCAGCAGCAGGGCAGGGTGTGTAGATGGAATGTTACTCCAGAGTCCTATCTTGTTGAATGGCCTCTGTCTCTGCTTTTCCAGTCTCCTCCTCCACCATCTTAGCCTTGCCACTCCAGGTACTTGAGCATGTTTTCAAAGAAGCTATTTTTAGGGGAACGCAGGTCAGAGCTGTGAAAGAGTTGGTACGTGAGAGAGGCTGCTGAAGGGCTCAGATGCGCTCTTGTTGCTGGTTGTGGAGTTGGTAGGCTGGGCCTGGAGGCATCAAGTCCAGCTTTCTGACCTGCATGTTGCTCCCTCCACACCGCTGGTCCATGCAGCCCAAGGAAACATGACGCTGCTGTAGATGAAGCATTGCCATAAAGCGCCTTCCCTGTCAGAGCAGAAATGGAAACCTTGAGCCTTAGCCCATCCCTACAAGGCTCCCTCAAGCGCCTGCCTGAAGGCAGCGAGGGGACGTGGCACTTCCAGTACCACGCTCTCAGGTAAAGCTGTTCTCTGAACTCAAGGAGCTGGTTCTCCGGAGGATCGAGAGCGACGTGGCCAGCGTCACAGCCAGAGTGCGACACGCAAGTTATGGAGATGTGCCAGGCTGGTCTGATGCTGGGATCATCCTGCTGCCGTTTTGACAGCATTGTTGTTTCTTCTTCACAGCTGTGGATCTGTTGAAGCACAAAATGATCTTCAGCGTAGTGAGGTTGGGAGCCACCATCATCATCTGCATTGGGTTTCTGCTGATGCTGCTCCCTGAGGAATGGGATGAAATAACCCTGAGGTTCATCAACAGCTTGAAAGAGAAGAAAAGCGAGGATCATGCCGACGACATCACAGACTCCAGTGTACACACGAGAAGCAGAAGTAGAGCTAATGGGACAGTGTCTATACCACTAGCTTAGGGCTGGTGGACTTCAACTGCACGCAGATGTATATTCTGTGAATATAGCTTAAATCTCCTCACTACTTGTATGCTTAAAAATGACATTTACTCTGTACTGGGGATGAACTGTAAGATAAGAGAGATACATCTATAATAAATGTTTACATTTATACACTTATCAAGGAACGGGTGTAAATAACTACAATAAAATGTTTTGTAATAAAATCCATTTAAGCCTGTGTCTTACTGAACTGGTGCGTTTAAAATATGGATCAAGTCTATATCGTATATCTCCTTTTGCTGGCAGAAGAAGAGCCATTCTTGAGGATACAAATCTTGGCTATTTCCAGCTAAATCTCCAAAGTGAGCATGTTGGCTTACTGTCAGTGAAGTGACCTTTCAGGGAGGTAGTACTTTTGGAAAGCCGTTGCAAACCTCTCCCAGCATCTTTGAGAATTCATTTCTGAAAGAAGCCGATGTTCACGTTGATATTAGGGATTATTAGCAGAATAAAGACCCTGTGACGTGCAAAACATTAATTTTTCATTGTGAAATACGTGATGAAAGCTACTTTGCACATCACCTGGACGTGCCACCGTGCTGTTAGCCCAGAGACGCAGCGCTTCTCGCCTCTCCATCGCATACTGCCCCTGTAGCCAGTGGAAATGGGAACCATGGAAATCCATGGCTCAGTACTGGTGTCCTAACCCACGCAGCACCCAGGACACCGGTGGGGGCAAGGGTACGGGCAGGCCCTGCCAGGACGCCTTGCCTCCCAGCCCGGTTGGAAGAGCTGTCTGTTGCTGACCGTAGGAGAACAGCGTGTTTGTGTGGGCTGGTGCCAGCTAAAACAGTTCGAACTAGTTTTGCAAGTTTGTAGGATTTCTACCTGCCCTTGCCACTGAAACGGAGCAACTGAGCTGCTGTTGATCACCCCCCCCCAGCTCCAGGCCTGCTGCTGCACCCTCAGCTGGCTGCACGCCTTGTCCCAGCCTTCGCTAAAGACGCAACCCCACTCCTGACACCCACCGCCTGCTCCAGCCCGTGGCCAAGTAGTTGCCAGCATCCCTGGGAACATTCAAGGCCAGGTTGGATGGGGCTGTGAGCAACCTGATCGGGTTAGCAGTGTCCCTGCTCCCTGCAGGGGGGCTGGACTAGATGACCTCTAGGGGTCCCTTCCCACCCAAAACATACTATGATAAACCTGAAACCACCCATAGGTTTGCCCCCAGTGGTGGCCCCGCATCCCTCCCAGAGCCACGCTGAGGTGTGCCTCTTTCCAACACCCGCTTCCTAGCAGAGGTGCTGGATTTTGGGTGCCTTGAGTAAAACCAGAAAAATAGCCTTATTAATTTTTTTTTTTCCCCTCACTCCCAGAAAAGCTGCGCTCCCAGCTGAAGAGCAAGCTTCTCGAGAGACACTGAACGCCCTGGATCGCCAGCGTCCCTGGGAAATGTCAGCTCCTGTTTTCTAGAGCTTTTCCTTTGGGCCAAACAAATATTTTTCTTAACCTCCGCCATGGAGAAAAAAAAAATCTTTCAAAAGTCAAAACAAACCAACCTACCCATCCAGTGCCTTCCCTAAGCTTGTCACTGTGTAATTCAGGATGGCTGCTTTCCCTTACAGCATTCCTAGGATCAACCACTTTGATTTGCAAACAGAAGCCCTTTTTTCTTCTTTTTTAAGAAAATTACTGGAAAGCAATGCAGATTGCAGAGCTCTGCTGGCCTGGCCACTGTTCATGAGTTCCATTAGCAGCCGGTAGGGGTTTTTTGAGGGTATTTCTGCCAGAAAAAAACAAAGCTCTTAGGGAAAGGAAGTGTTTGTATATTAATAGCAGTTCTATGGTAGCAATAACTGTGTTTCTTGTTAAAATAACAGCAAGAGCACACCCAGCACAAAGCCACAGTTTATTTTGGGGCTGATCACAAGCTCACCTCTCCACGAGCATGTCCTGGCTGGCGAGTCCGAACGCACCCCTCGTCCTGCACTGGTGCACCAGGGGGTCCTGTGAGAGCCCCATGGTTTGGAGAAGTGCCCTGGGGCATCGCCGGTCCCAGGGGTGGAGGTGGCAGAGATGGGGCTGGAGGGTGGCAGGCTGCCACCGTGTCCCCACGGCCACTGGGGCTTGGGACTGCTGCAAACACGGCAATTCCTGCATGTGAGAACATGAAAAGCATCTTTTATTTGACTCGCTTCTATTTGATGGTTTTTATCTTTTAAAGTTCATGCCTAAACTGTTCCTTGCAACCAGCAGAGCTAACAAAATACTTGCATATATTAAAAAAAACACCCACAAACCAAAAAACCAAACCCAAACTTGGGCTCTTTTCATCACACGGCTGCAGAATTAGGGCTGTAGAAACCAACCACCCCCTTTGCACTAAACCCTGAGGTGTAAGGTTTGGGTACGTACACTCACACGGTCTTTTAAAAGTCTCTTCCAGCATTTGAGAAGATGGGCTCAGCTCCTCCTCTGCTGCTTTCAAAAGGAACTAGACGTTAAAAATATTCTAAAAAATTGAATTATATCAAACAGGAGATACTGATGGGATGATACGGCTGAGAGCAAATCACACCTGGCAGCTTGGGCACCACCTCAAATCGATCTTGGAATTGATATATTCGTTTACACTAATAGTTTGAGAGATGTGTTCTACTGAAATTTTAGCTCCTGCCAAACTGAACACATGGGAAAAACAAACATTTCCTTTTAGCATGCATTGATGAGTACGTTTTTCGCAAGCAGCCTCATGGCAGCATCTTCAGGCCTAGGACTGGATCCTTCAAGGAACCTCATTGAGTGTTCAGCAGTGAAAATCACGTGAAATCCCTGTGTTTGAGTCGGTATTCCCCTATGTGAGATGTTCCATGACCAGGGACACAGCGTGCCGCTGTGCCAGCCTCTCACTCTCTACGAGCACACCCTGTGTGTGTCCCATCCGCAGGGACCAGCGATCACCATCTCTACAGGCAGGAAAAATGCACAGCTCTGGGCCCAGCAGCCACCCTCCGCCTCATCTCAGGCTTATCATAAAATCAGAATCATAGAATGTTTTGGGTTGGAAGGGACCCCCAGCGGTCACCCAGCCCAACCCCCCTGCAGTGAGCAGGGACACCTTTAACCACAGCAGGTTGCTCAGAGCCCCATCCAACCTGGCCTGGAATGTTCCCAGGGATGGGGCCTCCACCACCTCTCTGGGAAACCCCTTCCAGTGTTTCACCACCCTCACTGTAAAGAATTTCTGCCTTATATCCAGACTAAACCTACCCTGGTTTAGTTTAAAGCCATTACCCCTTGTCCCATCACAGCTGGCCCTACTAAAAAGATTTTCCCCATCTTTCCTGTAGGCCCCCTTTAGGTACTGCACTTGACCTTGTTGAACCTCATGAGGTTCACACAGGCCCACCTCTCCAGCCTGTCCAGGTCTCTCTGGATGCCATCCCGTCCTTCTGGTGTGTCAACTGCACCACTCAGTTTGGTGTCATCCGCAAACTTGCTGAGGGTGCACTCGATCTCGCTGTCTAGAGTAATTGATAAAAACATTAAACAGCACCGGTCCCAGTACGGACCCCTGAGGGACACCACTCGTAACTGGTCTCCATCCAGACATCGAGCCATTGGCCACTAACGTCTAACTCAACCCAAGCTTTCTGCTAGGGGTGAGCATCCCCCACGCTGCTGCCTGTACAGCAAACGGCGCCGCGGGTTGAACTGGGGCCGCAGAAGGCTTTCCCCTCTCCGCCACTGCCGTGGGTGGGCAGGAGGGGTTTGCTCCTGCATCCTTCCCACCACCAGCTCCAGGCAACATCCACCGCAGTAGTCACAAGTGCCCCAGATGCCCAGGGGCAAGCAGGTGCCTAATCCCTCACTTGCATCATGCCCAGACACTTTCTGGCAGTGCTTGTCCTGCTCAGCAATTCCTTCAGGCCCCCTCGTTCACCCGCTGCCCAACCTGCAGTTTCTCTTTCTTATTAAGCGAGAAAGATAATTGTTTTCCCTAGAAAACAGCCAGAGAAAACCCATTAAACCCAAGGAATTAGACAATAAATGGAGGCTATTTTGCATGACCGCATTGATGATCCATCAGAGGAACACAAACCAGTAATCACACCCGTCAAGTGACCCATCAGATGTGGTTACTTCTGGCGCTGTGGACATCTCCGATGAGCCCTTCTATCATCTCCAGCAACATGAGGGCTTCATTTCGATTGCACCACCGCCTTGTTTGCACCCCAGGGGAAATGCCGGTTTTCATCCGGCAGCTGCGTTATCCAATTCTCCTTCACGCCAGGGCCCAGCTCTCTGGCAGGAAAACAAAACGTGCTGCGAATAACCCACCCCGAGCATCGCCGCTGGCGCACGCCCTCTCCAGCGGCCTCAGCGACCAGGCACCGCGGACAATGTTCTCTCAGCACCGCCGGTGCCCTCAGCCTTGGCTGGGATAAGATGAACATCCCCTGTTAATACAAGCGACAAGCAGCAGAGGGAGGAACGAGCCGTATTTCTTGACTTTACAGCTGTGTAACAACGGGATCTATTCACTCCGGTCTGTGTCCCAGGCAGTGGAACGGTGCTGGTTTATTTTCCTCTCTTCCCTGCTCTGTTTGTTTGCACTTTCCGTAGCTGAACACGCTGCAAGCATCATAAACAACAAGCCTGTTTGCATCGTTACGGTTCCTTCTGCTTTACTCACCGGAGACTTGCATAAAGTCTGGCTGTTATTTTGGCCAAAACCCATGCTGCCCGCTTTCCATCTCCTCCTGTGCCCATGTTTGCTGGGATTCAAGGGCCAAACCTGCATCCGTCTCTGCAACACATTGGGTTCTTGCAACCCATCTCTTCCATTTGCCCTCCCAGCATGTGGAAAGCAAAGGGGATAGGAAACACACACCCCTGCACACCTAAGAGTCACAGAATCGTTTAGGTTGGAAAAGACCCTGAAGATCATCAAGGCCAACCGTTCCCCTAACCCTGCCATCCCACCACTAAACCCTGTCCCTAAGCACCTCGTCTGC